GGTCGTCCTCGCAAGCAGAAAATGCATGCTCCCGTTGACGTATCCCCTCGGCGCTTGCGTCTTATATATATATATATATATATAGCAGAAGAAAATGGGGAAACAAGCAAAGTTGTAAGGGGCTAGTATAAGACTTATATATATATAAGTCTTATACTAGCCCCTTACAACTTTGCTTGTTTCCCCATTTTCTTCTGCTTATCTCACCTTCTATGCTATTAAAACTCTGCTACTGGTTCAAAGCTTCCTACTTCCCCAGTAGGCGCTATCGTTCGATGTAACAAATTGAGTTCGTTCTTTTGCCTAACCTTATGTATGCTCCGCCCTATAGAGGATGCTGACTAGTGCCGAAATGGCTCCAATCGCGAAGTGGCTAGAAGAGGTGCTGCACGAAGCACTCACGTCTACCGTAGCCAACGCGTCCCGCCGAAACACCACGCCGCCGACGCGCAGGGACGCTTCTCCCGCACCAGCCCTTGCCTACTCCAACGTGGTAGGGGATGACTCGGCCAGCGAGACGCGGGTCTCGTCGGACGACGACAGCGGCGCCAGCTCCGCGGAGACCACAATGGATTTCCCCCAGAGGAAGCTGCGCAGGCCACGCCGGCCAGAGGATAGCGAGGGCCGTAAAGACGAGGATTCGCCGGACCGCAGCCCAAAGCGCACCAACGCGTCTCCCTGTTCCGCTCTGGCAGCCGCAGAGCGCTTAGAGGTAATCCTGCGTCAACGCGGCTACGGCGACCCCAGCTCTCCCGGCGGCTTCAACTCCGGCCCCGAGGAACGCGACGTCGCTACGAGCCTCAAGGCCAAGAGAGATCCGACCCCTGGACCCTCCACTCTCGAAGAGGAGTGGAAGGTCCTCCATGCCCATTTCACCGCATGCAGAAAGGCGCGATTAGCCGCAGAAAAGGAGGAGGAAAAGGCCTACCGAGACGGGCTCGCCTTTATCAACCGCCATGGGTTCCGCGGTATCGCCATCGCGGGAACCTCCACGACCAAGCTACAGGAGGCCATAGAGCTTAAGGCCTACAGCGAGGAGATGATCTCCGAATGGCAGAGGAAACGCGAGGCTCGCAAACAACGCGAGGAGACGCGACAACGCTTGCAAGAGGAGCAACGTCGAGTCCAAGAACACCTCGAAATGGTGAAACGGCAGCTTGCAGCCTTGGGCGACCCGCCGACGTCCCACTTTCGTCGAGTGTCCAGCCAGGCCATCCCAAATGACCGGACGCGCCGCACGCCAGGCTTCTTTGCCCTGCAAGGAGCCGCAGGAGACGAGCCGTGCAACCGCTGGGCCGGTCCCCGTCCTGACATCTTCGGCAAGCGGGCTTGCTCCACTTGCGGCCTTACGGGAGTGCCGCGAACCTCCGACTGCCCGAATTGGTCGAGGCATGAGCTTTGAAGGAGCGGCGGACAGCAGCCGTAATCATATAGCACGGTCGAAATGCGCCGACGCAGGGCAACCTTCCTCCGGGATAAGGATGAGTCGTCGGCCACCTACGCGGACGCCGGTGACAGACGAGGCGTGACCAGGCACTAGGTCTGGACCTAGGTGCTACGACCATCCTCGCGACCTCGCTCTCGAAGGTTCTCCCCCACCCCAAGAATCAGGCATTAACGCCCACGTTTTTTTTTCTCTTCTTGTTTTTTTTTATCACATGTTACCTTATAAGATTTGCGATCCGCGCGAGTAGAGAGAGTCGCGATAAGCTACATTCCACCCAAAGCTTCAAGTGTATAAAATGTTGAAAAAAAATATTTTTCTAACACTACGATGTTTTGATTTTTTTTTATCCATTAATTTTTTTTACTTGATGGAGAGAGACAGGTTTATTGACCTAGTACGCCTTGCTGCCCAGTTCTGGGGGAGGGGCATATAACGAGTGGCTAGACCCTCGTTATGTTTCTCTCTCTATACATAACTATAATTATCCTCATATGTATATGTATACTTATCATGTATTTATTTCACATGTATGGCAGCCAAAGGTAAGTCAGAGAGAGCGCTAATAGAGGGCGAGCTAGAGAGAGAGAATTCGGGAAGCCGGCGCGACGCGCGCGAAAACGGCAGTGGGGCAGGAGAAAGCCCCGCGAAAGGACTCACTCTTGTACCGGCGACTTCGAAGCACGTGGACGTGTGACGAGCGGCTATACACGTGCTTGCGATCTTTTGCTATCCGACTTTTCGTGATCGACTTTTCGTGACCGACTTTTCGTGACTGACTTTTCGGTTTCCTGCGAGTACGCGAATATCCACTCGGTGTGAGGCTTCGGTGCTGAGATTGCCCCTAGCGCCTTTGGTAGGCTAGTTTCTGCGACCACGCGTGCGAGCCTTTAAGACCGCCCGCCTCTCGACTGCACCCGAGCTGCACACTGTGCGTCCTCTAGAGCCACGTGCGAGGCTGAGGATACCGTCTGCAGGGCTAACGCCGAGACATCATTGTAAGTACCATCTCGAATGTAAAGTAGTCTCTCTCGCTAGCTTTTCGCCGCTCTCTTTCCCGCATACGCTGCGTCCTTGCTCTGTACCTTTCTCTGTAGTAAACTCAATGCTTTTGTATATCTGCTCTCTTTCTCTGTGCTTTCTTTACCTATCGTAATCAATCCCCTTCCGTCCGGCTCTCGCCCCTGAAGTTCGTGATCGCTCAAAAGCGCCCATAGGACTACACGACGTTCTCTGCGGGCTAAGGCAACAGACGCTGTACCACGCCGTTCCTGTTGCTGCTGGGTTAGGCTTTGCGCAGCCTATTACGAGGCTCACTCCGAGCTGTTTCTAACTCCCTCGTAAATTATATAACGAGCGACCCGCGCTGGGTCAAAACCCCGTTATATTAGCGAGCTCTACATCTCTTCACTATCCTTTGATTTTATACCGAAAATTGAAGTAAATAACACTGAAATCCCCAAGTTATCAAGAGCCTTGGAGTCACTATATCATTATCCCTCCAATGGAAACTCCATGTATCAGATATCATAAAGAAAGTAACCTTGTATTGAACACTCTTAAATTCCATAAAAAAGCTAATTATTTAATTGGCTTTTCTTAACACCATTGCCGCTAAGAAAAACCTTGTCGAAACGCTTGTCTTGCTCCATTTCTTCTACGCTTCAATAGACTTTTCTTACCTTGATAAAACAAGATTATCAATCCTCCAATTAGCTTACAATGCATGCGTATAATGCTTCGTAATAAGCCAACATCCCCTTCATTCCTACAGAAAATATAAAAACTCACATCTCTTTCCATAGATTAAGCCTAGAGTAGCTTTCCCTTCAATCCTAGAGAAATATTGTTCTTGCTCTACTTACTTATAAAACAGTATGCACCAAGTATCCGCACTACCTCACTACTTATCTTTATTTCCAAATTCAACATTCCTGCAGACAATCGACCAGAAATCCACCTATGGCCTTACATTATAGTGCTCTAAGAACTGAAGCATGAAAACACTTTGCTGCTATAAATGGTATGAACCTCCTTTATCAGCTCTTAGTCACTGATTTTAGAGCTGAAAGGATACAAGAACTCAAACGCTGGCTTTTTTTCTCTTTTTAGGTTACTTGAACAATTTCATACTCGAATAGAGACAGAGAACCTTACAAACTCCGCTCCTGTTTTCCTCTTGCCAACTGTCCATCTTCCTTTTTACGTTAGTAGTACGTTTTACCACAACTACAGAATATCTCCTAACTCCAGGCCACTACCTCAACTACAATATTTCCCTATTCTCAGGAAATTAAATTTTTAAACTTGCTCAGGCCTTCCTTGGGATTTTCCCAAATCAAAAGTACCTATGATGAAAATAGAATTATTGTAAAATTCGCCGACCTACAAACCATTGTAGCAGCTAGGTCTTCAGTTTTGAGGTTTTAAGCCCTTTAGTTTCAAGTATTCTGTGTTATTTTATAAGACATGCCAGCAAGCTCTCCTAACTATGCCTACACCAAGTCTTCTTCTTAATAACTCTATATTGTAATATGGCACATTTGCTTGATTAAGTTCAGCTGCAATTTATTATTTATATTACTTTACTTGTTAATTGAATTTAACCCATTAAAGCGGTACTCTTTCTATGTCATGCGATTAATTAATTTTCTAGCGATCATCAAATTTATTCTACCGATCTGATTGCTTCTTTAAATCCAAGGCTAAATAAAGCTTATTCGACTTTACTCTACTCTCTCTCTCTCTCTCTCTCTCTCTCTATCTCTCTCTCTCTCTTTCTTCTGATTCTTCTAAAATTTTCAATTGAAGTACTTAAATTGTCTTATATCAACTCACGTGACCCAATTGTATGAGATCTATCAGTTGGATGATCACATTATCTGCATTACCTGGAGCTTGTTACTGTTTAAACATTTTTGTCATATTGATTATTTAATGTTGCTAGAGTTTGGTGAAAGATACGCTTCAGCGTAATATGCTTTAGGGTAGGTAGTTTCGATTTCAACAATGTTACTAGTATTTGATTCCATCTGATATTTGAATTAAATGCAGAGACTAAAAGTGAATGATCCAGAGTCTGTGAAAGAAATGACATTAACGACGATCACTGATGACAGTCGGTTCGTCAAAAAATTCATTTTTTGTTAAGCAAGGTTACCAAATTTGGAGGGGGTTATATCACATTGCGGTTACTTCTCCAACGAGCGAAGAAGTAAGTTAATACGTAAAATCTTCGTAAGATATATGTTAAAAGTAACAGTTATACATATTTTAGCTTGTAATATCTTGAGTAAAATGGCGATCTTTTTATTTATCTTGTTTGTAGTTCAATACAGTATCAAATTATTTTTTTTATATACTTATCTCATAATATTACTAGCAAACAAGTATTTCAACTCTACAAATGTAAGTTAGCTCAGAATCAAAAGTTTGACATAATTAATTCAACGATATAATCATGTTCGATATAATGCTAAAATATAACAATGAAATAAATGGAAAATAATGATAATAAATCATCCTGTGTTGTGTTTATTGGCTAAATAATACTCACGATATAATCGAGATACGCCTTCCACTTTTCCCAAGCTGTTACTAGAAATACAGCTGTAACTTCCAACATCATTTTCATCAAAATTTTGTATGGTGAGATGCATAGCAACTCGATATCCAGTTCGCTTTTCTTGAATCAAATACTTTGGTCTAAAAAAATATTGATAATTATTTATTTATACATACAGAAAAATTAGTTATTTTGCTTTGAGTAATGTTAATATAAACGCATTTTTTTACATATTTATTAGAAAATTCTTCTTTAATGAAACCAGCTTGAAATTATTTTATTTTCTGATACTCTCTGAATTTTATATTATAGATTTCATAAATAATTTAGATTTTCATTCGTTTTATCTTTAAAAAAATAGTTATCAGATCGATAAAAAAATATTTATGACAAATACAATACACTATTGTAGCAATGGATGGATTCTTTCAATTTTATTATGAATACTCGTTGAGAATATCAACCTGAGAAAAAGTGGTATTAATGAAATAAACGCAACAATTTTTTACATATAACATAACTTTCATATTAAGGACGTTATCTTTTAACAGCCAAGTTAGAAAATTTAATTTTGTTAAAATATGCAATTAAAAGCATTATTTGCGTTGTTTCGGAGAATAACTAGCAAAATATTCTAACATTGAAATTTTTCAAAATCTCATGCGCTACCCTGAGAATAAGAATGCAAGCGCATGCATTCTGCCTCGTATGCCATGAAAAGAATCCTTCTAACACTACCCTAACCCTCTATTTTCTCTCTATCATCTTTTCATGTTCCTCTTTTTTCCCCTGAGAATAAAAATGCAAGCGTATGTACTCTGCCTTGTATGCTATGAAAAGAATCCTTCTAACACTACCCTAACCCTCTACTTTCTCTCCATCATCTTTTTATGTTCTTCTTTTTTCCTTTTTCCCTATTACTTGATTCCTTCTACACAGTTGAATGTCGGAAGTTAGTATCCACGATCCAGTCACGCGCTGATTGGTGAGCTGAAGTTTTAACCGGGGGTTTATTATAAGGCACAATTTCTGAAGTTATTCAGTCAGTCAACTTCTAATGCTTGTGGACGAAACCTCTCGCAAGACGTCTACCAACCTTGGTTTTACCTAAGTCGAAAATAAAGAGATTTATCAGCATAAATTCTGCGACTTAAATTATTTTCCGAGTCAAATCAAACGGTCCTTCTTAGAACCACTCTATTCCGTTATATACAAACCTGCCCTTTACAGGGCCTTCTAGACTGATACTTCTCTGGCGGACGGTTTTTCATGGGTACCGAAGACTTGTCAATCAGAAAATTGTCCTGTCTCGATTAATCGATCCTTTTCGAAGCCATCTCTTCACTAAACGAGGAAAGATGGAGATCTTTCTCGTGCTAATCCAATTCTTCTTCAGAGTCTTTGGCCTCCTGCCACATGGGAAAAACCTGAGAAGCAAGACCTCTTGTGCCCAGACCACTATTTAACTTTGATGTTAATTTTCCTCAATTCGAAGTATATGCAACAATATATTCAATTTTATACATTGTTTTTTCTACAATCGGACTAATTTCGCTGTTACTTTCTTGCAAAATTATCTGTAAAGGTAATTTTAGAGTACCATTGGCAGAAATGATTTGTGAATTCAGAGATTGATAAATATATTAAACTTTTAAAGTAACTATAATAGCGAATGAACGATCAGCGTTGAATTCATGATCAAATCTTGAATAATCCGAATTATAAACATTGTTTGGTCCTGTTCAGGAAATCTCTAATTTGATCTATTCAACAAAATTGGATATCGCTTGTAATTTCTGTATTTTGTATTCTGCTTTATTTAATATTTATTATATACCATTCCTTTTTTTCAAATTATGAATACATTTAGCCAAATTTGTAAATAATTTAGTAGTCTTACGTCCCAAGTAAACCAGACATCAGATGCTGAAATGTTATCGAAATAGCAGTTTACGTGCGTCTTTCAATCTTTCTCACAGGATCGGTTAACTACGCGGTTCCTTGCTCTCGGCAGCTTCGGTACAAGTATACAAGTATACCGATCTTAAAATAACGCTGCTGTGACACTCGTTGTCGCTTGAGTCACTCCTGATCCTGAATCCTGCTTCTTACATTTGACGCCTTTACTCGGTGCGTCATTTAGTCGCGGGAACGTTCGCGCTTCCCGACTTTCTCTTTTTAAATAATTTGTGCCGTTACTCGCGAGCTGCCCTAGTGGATTGATGATTTTCACAATCACAATGGATGTATAATATTTCATCATCTATGTTCGGTTTAATTTCTTTACACTTATGTTAGTTTTAAATAAAATAATATTAGCTTAAGAGAAAGAATAATTTATGGGATTTCAGTTTTTGCAATTTTACTATACTTAGTTTGGTGTTTTTCGAATAAAGTTAAATTAAAAGTTGTTTATGTTTGAGGAGACTTAAATAATTGAATATATCTGATTTAAGACGCTATAGCTTCAGAATAAATGTCAATAGTACAGAATAGTAACTGAGACGTTTCCTAGGGATTGCCTCTTGGTACAGGAAGTTCCTCGAGGGCTACGCTTCCCTGAGTGAGCCGCTCACCGCACTCACCCGCAAAGATTGCAAGTACGCGTGGACAGAAAAGCAGGAGACAGCTTTTGAGCAGGTGAAAGCTTTGCTGGCCTCCGCACCGGTGCTCTCAAGGCTTGACTTCTCCGCTCCATTCATGGTTGAATGCGATGCTAGCGACACGGGACTGGGCAGTGTTCTCTTACAACACGTCGAGGGAGCGGACCGCGCACTCTGTTTCGCGAGTCGAGCTTTGACTGCTCCAGAGCGAAGGTTGTCAGTGACAGAGAGAGAGTGCCTCGCTGTAATTTGGTCGATCGAGAAGTTTCGACCTTACATCGAGGGTTACCATTTTACAGTGGCGACAGATCACCACAGCCTGGTGTGGCTGTGAAACTTGCGGAGTCCCAACGGAAAGTTAGGTCGCTGGTCCTTGCGTCTGCAAGTCTACGACTTCGACATCGGAGCGGCAAGGATAACGTAGTGCCGGACGCGCTTTCCCGCATGTACGAGACAGACGAAGACGAGATCGCCGCCACAGCTTCTCTCAGCGTTGGCGAAGGCACAAAGGACCCTTGGTACCGGAATAAGATTAAGAAGGTCCTGGCTGATCCAAGGGCCCACCCGTATTGGAAGGTCGTTGGGGGACGCCTGTACGTGTGTCGCCCCGACCCGGTCATTGACGACGCAATGGGACGAGACGACGATGCTTGGAAGCTAGTGGTACCGCAGGAGCGACGTGGACTAGTCCTCGCAGAATGCCACGATGAGCCGACGGCGGGACATCTCGGCCGTTACAAGACTCATCAGAGGGCAATCCTGCGCTATTACTAGCCAAACATTTATAGGCATGTGCCTCATTTCGTACGTAACTGTCACGTATGCCAACAGGTGAAAGTCGAACAGGTGGCTCCGGCGGGACTAATGGGAAAATATGTAGTTTCACGACCATGGGAAATAGTTTGCGGAGACTCGATGGGTCCGTTCCCGAAATCGCCACAAGGCCATGAGTACCTGCTGATTTTCATGGACATGTTCACTCGGTGGATCGAGTGCATTCCCATATGAAAGGCGAACGGCAAGACCATCAAGAGAGAGCTGAATCAACGAGTTTTCTTGTGATTTGGCGCCCCCGAGAAATTCTTGTTGGATAATGGCACGCCCTTCAAGAACAAACTCGTGGATGACTTCCTGGACTCCGAAGGCGTTTATCATGCGACATGTGCGCCCTACTCTCCGAAGTCTAATCCAACGGAGCGCGTGAACCGGACCGTAAAGACGATGATGGCAGCGTTTATTCAAGAAAAACACACTAAGTGGGACGAACATATCGCGGAATTCGCTTTCGCGTACAATACGGCCATTCACGAGGCAATCCGCTCAAGCCCGGCGTTTCTGAATTACGAGCGGAACCCAGAGCCACCCCACACGACGAGACGCGAAGAAACGCTCGAGGCCACACGGAGACAGGAGGCCGCCGCTCTCGGAAGCTGGCAGGCAAAGATGGGAAATCTCGACAAGCTCCACGCGTATGCCTCAGAAAACTCCCAAACCGCACAAGCCCGCCAAGAAAAATACTATAACAAGGGACACCGCGACGTTAACTATGACGTTGGCGACAAGGGCGAAAAATCGCGTGCTTTCCTCAGCTGCCCGGGCCATCGCCGCGAAGCTTTGTCCCAAGTATGCGGGACCGTTTGTTGTCACCGCCCGATTAGGCTCGAATTCTTACCAGCTCCAAAACGAAAGCGGAGTCGACATAGGTAAAGTGGCTGTGTGCGACCTGAAACCTTGCCACGATGCGGAGCAGTTCCCGGAGAAGAGCTGGTGTGAAGACCAACTATCCTCGGACGGGGAGCAGGAAATGACTCGTGATAGCGACGAACCAAAGCTTTCGGGTGATCAGACCCCCGCGCGCGAAACGCCGTCTCAACCGCCGTACAGCCAGAACGCCACCAAGCTGGAGCCAACGCCGGAGGAGCCGGCCCCTCGGAAAAGAGGTAGGCCGCCCGGCTCGAAAAAGAGCGCTCCGCCGCCGGCAGATACGTCACCGAGACGCCTGCGCTCAAGAAACACCCGAGCGGGCGGACCGCGCGCTTAACCAGCATTCTTTCGCTGCCCTTACCTTCCTTGATTGCCTCCTTTCTCATTTTTGCTCCTCCCTTCCTCCGTTTTGCTTTGCTAACCAGCCGCTTATCTCACTCGCCTTTCTGCTGCTAACCCGCTTGGACAACAACTCACTTCGAGTATCGCTCCTCATGTAACCTTGCTCATATAACCCCAGAACTCTACGAGAATGCTGCCAGCGAGGGCCGACAAAACGGTCAAGCTCGACGTGCCCGTGGAAGAGCTGTGCAGGATGCAGCAACTTATCCGCCAGATCCTGGAGGCACACAATGTAATCTTGTTCCTCCCAGCCCATCGGGAGTGAGCCTGACGGAGCTGCTGGGGGAGACCAGCCTCCTCCACATCGCTGCGCAGCCACCATCTGCTACCCTCCCAGCACTGACGGCCTCAAATGCCGCTCAGACCGCAGCCCGCACAGCGTCAGACGTGCTCCCGTTGGGACGACCAGATGACGCCCCAATCGAAGCCAG